CCTGGCAAGCGGGCGGCTCCTCAAGTCAGAGTCGGAGGACTCCGGAGTGGAAATGGCCAGCAACGAGCACTCGCCCTCCACCCCCCTCGGCTCCGAGAGCAGCTTCTCCCTCGATGGCTTCCCACCGGAGAAGAGCTCCCCCGGAGAGGAGCCGGGCACCGAGCCCCCCCGGCCGCCCCGCAGCTGCTCGGCCAGCAAGAAGCTGGTGCAGGCAGCGCAGCGCAGCAAGAGGCAGCGGGTGCCTGGGCGCTGCCCGCGACAGCTTGGCCGACACAGCACCAGCGCGGCTGACCTGCGGGCCGAGCCGGTGTGGGACCCCCGGGATCCGGAGGAGCCCAGCGTGGAGGATGCCGAGGGATCGGTGCGTGCCGGGGAAGGGGTGGCTGCGGCTCGGGGGGCTCGGCTGCCCGGCAGCCCTCGAGGCCCTGCTCGCCCGCAGGCCGTGCCGGAGGCCGTGCTGCCCGTGCCGGGGCAGGGGCTGCGGTACCTGGAGCACGTCTGCCAGATGCTGGAGCGCCTGGCCCGGCTGCAGCAGGACAACCAGCTCCTCCGGCAGCAGGCGGCGGATGCCCGGCGCACCCGCCTTGACACCGCGGTGAGGGCTGGGAGGAGGTGGGGTGCTGGGGGTGGTGGTGCTGGGGAGTCCCAGCTCACACCCTGCCCCTCCTCGCCCACAGCCCACCCGGGAGCCGTCGAGGCAGGATCCGGCCGTGTGGAGGGGCGAGCGGTTCCGGCCGCGCTCCTGCTCGGACAGCCATGCTCCAGGTGAGTGGGGTGGGATGCGGGGATGGTGGGATTGTGCCCGGCCGGACCCCCCAACTGGTTTTATCCCCGCTCTCCCATGCAGCACCCGACCCTGGGCCATGCCAGAGGACGTGGGGGCACTCGGCCAGCTCCCCCAGCCTGCTGGACCCCTCCGAGAGCGGGGCGGGCGCTGCGACGCCGGACAAGGTAGAGGCCGGGGGACGGCGGGGCGAGGCGGGCAGGGGTCCCGCAGGTCCCCCACTGCTGACGGCCGCGTCTCCCCGGCAGGATGGGCGCTCGCACTGGGGCCGGGGGAAGGGGCTGCTCACCCCCCCGA